GGGGGGGGGGGGGGGGGGGGGGGGGGGGGGGGGGGGGGGTTGGGTGTTGGCGGAAGGGGTCAGGGGAAACGGTCGTTGTAAAACTGGGTAGTCAACGACTCACAGATTCCGGGAGGTTATAGATGGCAAAGTTAAAATCCTACGTATAAGGCAGAAATTTGCCAGTCAAGGAGCTTTTGTCATACCCAATAATACACTAAAACCAGGAGCCGATTACTCTGTTTAGCCAAGCAAGATCAAGCAGGTTCTTATCTGTGGGTGGTCTTTAAATTGTGATAAAAATTTAACCAAGGAGTTTGACTTTGAGACTGCAAATTTCTATTACAAAAAAAAAATACTTTAGTTATTAACGTTTTATATAAAACTACAACAACCAAATCCTGCTGTTTTATCCAAGAAAAAATATAAACATTAATGACAAAACAGCAAAGACAAAAGCAATTTGAGGTTTCCCAATACTTTGGTGCGGCTTTGATTGTTTTCAGGGAAGAGCGGGGCTAATTAACAGCTAATTAAAATGCGAGGGGATTATGTGTTAATATGCAAGGGGGATAACTCACTTATCCCTCTTGTATCAGTTAATACATAATCCCCTCGCATTTTAATTAGCTTTTCATGAAGAACAAATTAACAAATGTTTATTTGCAAATATTAGACACGACGCTACAATTACTGAAATTAAACTGAGCAAATCTAAATAACGTAGATATCAATAAACCAAACGCCCTCTAAAGTTGACAGCTTGACCATATGCCAACGCGAACATTCTTCTCACGGTTCAGCAAGCAGTCATCTGTCATGCGCTGACAGTTTATAATATTTCTAAACGGAGTGTGTGTACTTGCAGCGGTAAAAGCAAAAACGGAAAATAAGGCACTCAGTGATTCCGGGCAACTGCTTTTTGGGTAAGAGGAGATCAAACAGAAGCTCTGTTCATATCCCAACGGTGATTTTCAACCTTCATAGGTTGTGAACAGGTTCGTTTACACGCTCATTTATGTACATTCACAGATTTACTGTGACAAAGAACCCGCCGCAACACCCATAGACTTTCTGTAAGTATTGAACACTCCAATGTACTGAAGAATGGTATCTGAAGGACAAAACATCTCTGTAGTTTTGTTGTTGCACTTGGGAGGGGGCGGAAGAACGAAGGATTCGTCCATAAAGCTGATTAAAAATTCACTTATCAGGCTCCAGCACTGTGCGATGTCATCACATGGTTGATATTCCAGCTACAACAGGTTAAAAAAAACAACAACAAAAAAAACAGTTCGTACTAAAAGACAAGGAGTTAATTGGGGGGAGGGGTGCCTTGAGGAGAAGAGGGAGGGAAGAGAGGGCCGGAGTTTTTTTAGATTCACGGAAACAATTCCAATTCTCATTAAAAACAGTTTCCATTTACAGTCAACTTTCAGAACGGACACCCCTTAAATGCGGACAGCTGCAGCTAGTGTCTCTATAATGTTTTACTGAGGAGCACAATGGTCAGAGAATCTGCAAACATCTTCAGACTTCTTGACAATGTAATGTCTACTAAATATGGAGGCACATACCTCAATGACAAGTCCTTTAAAACTTGTTCCTGCAGAGACTTGGCCAAATTTAAGAACAAAATCTCCATACTCATACCGCTGACCTTTGGCCTAAGAATCGAATCAGAAGAGATGCCCACTTAGGCTTCCAGTAGGAGCAAAGGTTGGATTTTTCAAAGGGGGGAGGGGGAGGGAGGTCACATGACGCAACTACCCAAAGTACCTATCACATTCTCATGTTGACCCATATAAAAACCATTGATCGAAACTATCTGATACAAAGAAAATTTTCAACAAAGTGAGCTTTCAAATGATGATCTTTGCAAAAAATTTGGATACAAGAATGCTGAAATATCATCATTCAACAACGGTGAATTTTTGGATTTTCTCATGTACTTTGGTTTATCAATTTTCTAAGGGTTCTTTCTGAAAAGAGAAAGAGGCGCACTTCTCCCAAAGGGGGGTCACAAGAACCCTAGGAGGCCCTCTAACTACACCCCTGTCACAGTCAAGGTTACTCTTAGGCGATAGATATTTTGTACGAGTGTGGGCCATAATCTGGTCTCAGTGTGGGCATGGAAATGCAAAAAGTGATTAATGCCTAGTCACCTTGCCCTCACACTTAGCAATCACATCTGTTATTTAAGTATGGTAGCTGCAGCCACTCCTACAAAACTGCTCAATAAGACTTCAAGTAGGCAGCCCAGATTACTTTTATTGAAAATATGGAAATACACTTGGTCATGATGAAACCATTTATACAGTCAGCTATCCCTTAAGGGACACCTTTCTAAAACTTCATGATGGTACATTGTTGGTCCACCCTTTTGCTGACTGATTGCTACACTCAGTATAAGTCCTAACAGTGTTGAGGGTCTTGGAGAGAGTTAAATTTACATTAGCAGCTCTGATAGGCTTGATTTCCGCCATCTCCCGGATCCAATCTTTGACCCTCCCTGAAGAGAGCTCCTTAGATGAGTGCAGACTCATTTTCCCGAACAGCGGCTGGTAATTAAGCCTATAGTTCTGTTTACCGGAAATCCTCCACTAAGCCCCCTGGAGGGCTTATTCATTTTAAGCCCATTTGAAGGGGGGGGGGGGGGGTGCTTGAGAGTGGG